TTTTTAGCTAATGTTTTGCAACATGTCAGTTCAACACTGTCGTATGATCGCCAGACTTTATTGGAAATCGCCTTGTCCACCAAAGTTTCAGTTTGGTTTGGTAAAGATTGCCAGGGTTTTCTGCCTCCCTACCTGGAAGCAGTACCATTGCGCTGGTATCCCCTACCACTGCCACCAGATATGCGTAAGTGATGGAGGAGACGGAATACCCGTGGAGGTCGCCTCGTTAAGCGGATTTCTTACCTTCCTCACGATCTACGCTCCGTTCGTCAATCTTTTCCACCACTCTTGGTACCATCGCATGCTCTGGATCCTGTGGATTCCTGGTTGGTTCCCGTTGTCGGCTCTATCGGGAGCAGCCCTGTTAAATCATTCCCTCTTCGGCATCTACGTTGGAGGGGAATGGACCGATCAAACCTTCGATCGGTGGATCTGGTTGTCACTGCTGTGGAGGTCTCCGAACCAGCTCCCCTCAGGTTGGGTTTAATAAATGCCAGATCGGTGGCGAATAACACCTTCATCCTGAAGGATTTCTTTTCTTCCCATGCATTGGATTTCCTCTGTTTGACTGAAACCTGGAGTTCACCGGGTGAGTTAAGCGTTTTTTTCTGAACTGCTGCCGGCTGTGCTTATTTTAGCGCTCCGAGAGCGTCTGGTCATGGCGGGGGGTTAGCTGTTGTTTTTCAATCACACTTTGAGTTTAAGCAACTATCCTCATGGACACGCCACACCAGCTTTGAGCTTTGCCTGTGAGAACTGGGCCACTTGCCTTCATTGCTGTGTGCAATAGTTTATCGGCCTCCTAAATATAACAAGGACTTTTTATCTGAGTTTTCAGAGTTTCTCGCTGACTGTGCTTCTCGGTATGACCAGGTCCTGCTACTCGGTGATTTTAATATACACGTCTGTTGCCCAGGGAAACCCCTGGCTAAGGAATTCATGGACCTGGTGAGCTCTTTTAATCTTGTTCAATTTGTTAAATGTGCCACTCAAGAACGTGGTCACACATTGAATTTGGAGTTATCATATGGGTTATCTGTCTGTAACTTACATGTGGCGCATGCTGTATTCTCTGACCATATGCCCATTCTATTTGACGTTGTTCCTCTTAGTCCTGTTGTTAAACTGGCTGCACCTATGCGATGCTATCCTGCCTTCGGCTCAGATACTGCTGAGGATTTTCCAACACTATTTGAACAACTTGTGTCCAGTCCCTCTTAGTTGTCCTCCGTAAATGGATTACTATCTCACCTGGACCTGTTTGTAAATCTGCCCTTGATGTTGTTGCACCTCTAAGACTCAGGCAGTGTAAACCCAAGTCCAGCCCTTGGCTAACCGATTTTACTCGAGCCATTAGAAGAGAATGTAGGAGATGTGAAAGACGATGGAAAAAGGACATGCTGTACGTTTCTCTGGAAGCTTTTAAGACGAGCTGGAAAGCTTATCAGAGGGCAGTAAAGACCGCCAAAAACTCCTATTTTTCACAACTTATTGCTGTTAATTCACATAACCCTCGTGTTCTGTATAATACCATTAATTCTGTACTGAATGCAGAGGATCATGTTCTTTTGCAATCTTCTGAGGTGTAATAAGTTTCTTAATTTCTTTGTGGATAAGGTTGCAAGTTTGAGACCCTCCACTTTATCTTCTGTTGGCCCGGCTGTGCATGTTCCCTGTTTAAATTTGCTTATTGCTTTCCAACCAATTGTTCTACCTGAACTAGAGAAGCTTGTGTTAACTGCTAAACCATGTGGTTCTCCGAATGATGTCGTTCATTCCCATTTTCTGAAACAGGTGTTTCCTACTGTTGGACCACATATTGATTGATTGATTGATTGATTGATTGATTGAATCTTTATTTTGAACATGTTAAAAAAGTACAACAACATAGAATTAAAAGAGACAAATAAACAAAGCAAAACAAAAAAGAAAACGAGCAACCACAACTACAAATATCTGTCATGTTCAAAAAGGAGCAGGAAGAAGCATGAGCTTATTTAATC